TAAACAATCAATATATTAATATAAACATATATAACTATTATACCTTATCTATTTGTATATTTATTAATTATCAAAGTGTTTTAACTGGTTGATTTCTGACAAAACTATCGTTTATCAGAAAGAGAAAACGTGTCTACAGTATAGTAGTTACTTTTAACAGAATTAGTAGAGGAACTGAAATTTTGAACTGATAATGCTTAACATCAACAAAAGATGCTTCTCATATTAAAGTTTTTTTGATTAGGTAGTTTAATAGTCTATTAATAACCCTTTATTAGTGTATTCAGAAGTAAAAAATCTGCTATCTACTTCGTGTTAGAGATCTAACAGTTAGTTATATTAAATTTTTTATACTTTCGACATATTTAAACAGGAACGAAGAGTCTTCAATTAAAACCAATCAGTCAATGTATAGATCATATGAGTTTCTGATCATTTTATCGATGCTTGTTAAAGCAAATTTTCATCATTTAACGCATAATATTTTTGAAAATATTATTCATGTTTATAACAAATCAGATAAACTTCGTTTATTTCACATTCAATATTATAGTAAAAACAAATAATTGTTCTAGTCTAAACTTTCAGAAAAGTCTCAAATGTATTCGAGAAATTTTTCACAATATGAATCTTGAAATTTTTCTTGTCGTCATGGATAACTGTGTTTAGTTAATATATGAACTGTAACAATTATTAATGTTTAAAAGTCTCTATAGAACTTCATAAGAAATTTAACAATCAAAGAATATAACTTTTACAATTGATTTCATATTAATTCATCAGCATATTAGAGTAAAAAGTTCTCATTTAAGTGTTTTATGATCTTTAAAATTTGTCCAGAACTATTCAACCTTACTGGAGAAATTTATTTATTTATATGTCAAGTAAAAATAGCAAGGATATTTTTCTGTACTTAAGTGCGAGTATAATACTTTCACTTTTCGTGCTTGGACTTGTTTTTTCTCACCTCTGTTCGATAGAAATCAAAAGTGAAAGCCTTTTATAGATTATGATCCTAGTCTTGTTTATTTTCAAAAATATTATTATATAGATTTGAATATTGACTTTTGACTTTAGTATAGACCAGATCCACAATAAATATATGTATTTTTGACATTTACGTCCAATAAACATTAGTTAACATCAACTATATAATCTAAGTAAGAGATGAATCGAACAAAAAAAAAAAGTCTTTGTTACGATACATAATGAGATTGTCTGTAACTGAAATATTCTTTCACACACTTGTCGTTACTTAAGAAGACACATGAGTGGGAATAGCAAAAATAACTAATGGAAGGAAGAAAAAAAGAACATTAACACACATATTATAACAAAGTGCATTATGCATTAGTGAGAAAGATAAAATAGTAATCTAATATAATCTAATATCAAGAGACAGGAAGATTAGATAAACAATAACGTAAACAGAGAAAAATCTTTCATCATACAGCATAAGATTTCATTCTGATATTCATCAAGTTCATCTTTAAATCTATTCAGATAAGAAAACAATCAATGAAAAATGTTACCCTTATGCCCCAAGCATTCGTTTACGGTACGAGCCGCGATATCAATCTTTTATGTCAAAATGTTCTAAGCGAAAATAGTAGAGTCAAGGAGAACAACCTACAATATCAAAATATGTCGTCAGAACTAATGAACTTTCATCAATATTAATTAATTCTTTGTCTTTTTTTATATTTGAAATGTCAATAATTGAACAAAAAACGATTGAAAAGATGAGTGCAAGAATAATATATGAATAATGATAACATTCAATTAATTTTTTTAAAAAAAAAAAAAAAAAATCTAATAAAATCTAATTTATCAAGATTTTTTTATTCAAATAAGAATCGGTATGCTTCAACTAGTATTACTAAATATTCTTGCTCGAGAAAGATAGAAATTGTTATTAGTAGAGTTTCTTGATTATATGAAGAATCAATTTAGTGCAATGTTAATCGATACTGTCAATTTCATATTTTTTTTTCCATTTTTTTTTTTTTTTCAATATTAGAGGCAAATCCTAGTCATAGAAAGGAACTTTTATTTGATATTCATCAAATTTTATCAATTTCACAACCGAATAGAACAGGTGAATAATAATAGTTTGAGAAGCTTCGAAGATTTGTTTCATGATTTCTCTCATTGTTTTCATTGAGTTCTGTGAAAATGTGTTAATTTCAAGAAAGTATCTTTATCGATACGTATGAAAAGAAAACAAGCCGCGGTAAACGTCTGTGTGTACAAACGCGTAGTTTCCATTCTTTCTGTTTCTCGCATCTATCATCGTAGTCTAATACAATGCGTACATAATATAGATAATTATTTCTCATCAAGAAAGAGAATAATATGTTGGAAATCAAGCGAGCGTACTGTCATCAAATTCTTGTTGGTCTGCGCACTTATCAACGACAAAAAAGGAATACGTAAAAGAATAAAGTAGTATTTTCGTTCTTGTCGGGGTCATTCATCAGACTTAACTTCGGTCATATGTTACTTTCAATTTTCAAGATTCAATATGTCACATTTAAACCTGATTATTTTCAAAATATATCTCGTGTTTATGACAGATACAACTTACGACAAACCATTCATTCATTGGTCTTTTCAACAGAAAGAAAACTTTATTTAGTATCTTTTGACTTTTAAAAAGAAATTGAGATCAATGTCGACAACGAAAAAAAATTCTAGAATAGACTTATTCTTCATTGAGATATTTAGTCGTAACTTTTACAATCGCTTTTATAAAATAATGTTAACAAGATTTATAGTAAAGATGTTAAGTCATTGGAAACATTGACTTTTCGCCTATTATTGTTGTTAATATGAAGTAATATTTCCTGATATGTTTCTTTACAGATAATAAATGTCATATAATGATCAAAGACATAAAGGAGAAAAGGAAAAGACGGCATTACTTACAGAAAGATAATATTCTCGCCATTCCTTACATTCATCATTAAATCATCATAATATCGATGTACAGATTATAATGACCTTACGAACCATTAATACAAGAAACAACAATCTGAATATATAAAATAATTCTCATTATTTATTTGACAAATCATTTTGAATATTTGTCGAATATTATTTCTGACCAATTGGAATAATGATTCCTTTTTTATCATATTATATTTTACCGACTCAAGCAATTGTGAGAAAGAATATTCATATTGGTCATGTGTGCATTTTCTTTTTTATTATTTATGTTTATTGAATTTAAAATCAGTATCGTTTTATTTTTTAGGTAAAGGAAGATATTGAGGCTTTACTTTTGGCATTGAGTCCAATTTTATACATCTTCCATCAAGATATACCAAAACCTCATGTACTTCATCCGAATATCATTCAAAATTTGGCCATAAAGGTTTAATTTAATTGTTTTATAAAACAATGTTTAATATTGATATTTTTCAGCCTGAAACATTGAAATTGCTACCACTGCTTGGCTGGTTATCCAACAGTGACGGAGAATATTGTTATTGCGATACCGAATCATTACACGAAATTGCTCATCGACAAGGAGCAGCGCGCGAATTCCGAAAATTTTACAATGAACTTGCAACAGTCAAAAATAGACCACCTAATCAACTTGAACATTTTCTTAGTGTAAGTTGTCTAAACATAAATTAGTCCATTGATTCATATGACCATTATTAGTTCAATCAGTCAATAACATAAGAAAACTTTTAACTGATTGAATTGTCAAAAGAACGAACACAAAATCTATTTTTCAGAAACAAAGGGACCACAATCACCTCATGATTATAAACTTGTTAACATATCATAAATTGAATCAGAATTAAATTCAATTGAATGTTAGACTCTTTGTTGCCTCGTAAACGTAAATAAAACAATATATTTCTCTATAATATTCAGATTCTCTCATATCTTTGTTGAACAAAAGTGTTTTAATCTGGACCTGTAAGAAAAATAATAATTAGATTAATAGATGTATTTTATCATGAACTGACACGTTTTACTTATTTATTGTAAGATTGCTAAATTTAGCAGATAATGGAAGAGGCTTAGAGATTTTCTTAACTATATAGGCTATCTCATACTTAATATGATTTAGTAATTTTATTTAATATTCAGAGATGTCAAACGTGTTTATCTTAATGATAGACGTTCACTGCTTCAAGTGAAAATAATTCCTAGTACTATAATTAAAAATGCATGGTGATAGAATTACAATAGAAGTTAGTTCGCTAGTCTTTTTCAGATACTTCTTTTTCTGTAACTACGTAGGAAAGAATTAATTCAGTTTTAGTTAGTAAATTGAAACATTGAAATGATGTATCTATGAAATAGCGAGAGTATCTTCTCTGCGTATGCGTATTTTTTAATGCATGTTACAACTCCTTTTTGGAGTTTTTCATTTTTTTTTTTTATGGACCAATTATCATAAAGACACACAAAAACTGAAGTGAATTAACTGTTCGAAACAAGGATATATTGCACTTATAGATATGAAAATATTGTCTCTTATAATAGAAGTCGAATCGATTCGAATCCAAATTCAGATTTTCTTATTTATTTCGGTCTCTATAACATGTTTTACGTCCGACGTCATTGAACTTTTTCTATTGATTCAGCCTGGCACAGTTTTTCAAACGCACACATTTATTCACTAAAAGTTGAAGTTGTTCTGCAAAAATCCATAGATTATTGCAGCCGTTTTGAAAGAAATCCTTTCGAGATGGTTCTAATATGATAATGAAAAATTTTCGTTTTTTCTCATCGATGTCCGACTAGACACGATGTTGTCTCATAAACTTGGAGCGAAATCTTGAAATGAATATCTCGAAGATGGAAATGTAAAAACTTGATCTTGTAGATTACCAATTTATTATTATTTCGAAACTTGTTGAAGAATAACTGAGACGTCAATCATAAACTTGAAAATATTTGCAAGTCGTGCGAAGCGAACATATTTTAATTGACTATTGTTTCTATTCTTCTGTTCGGCATCATTTTTCTACAGACGTTTAGATCAAATGTTTTTCCTTACTAGTCGAGATCTGTATGGGCTGAAAGTAGACGTTCCATATTTGCTCGAAACTGTTCTTCGACAATAAACTTTCGTAATTGTTTTTGTTTTGAAGTAAAAAAGTCGCTAGGAATTTTCCTATTTATAAAAGGAAAAGTTTTTATGAGGAACTATTCTGTGAAAAATATATGTATGGAATCTTTTAAGCTTTTTCAAAAAGAAAAGAAAAGAACAACACTAGCTGAAAGTGCTGATATTATCAAAGAAACAGTGGTCGGAGTTTTCAAAAAGTAAATATGTTTAGCAGTTCGGCGCCAAATGTGCCCATTTTAGGAACAATTGGTCATATAGAAGGTTTTCAGAAAAAAGAGCGATGATATAAGAAAGAACTGGAGAAATTTAAAAAAGTTAACTACGTCTAAGTTTTCTCGGTATGGGGCGCTACTTCAAATGACTATTTTTAATTATTAGAAGTTGATCTGCTTCATTCATTGTCCTATTGAGACAGGAAGCTTATGAAAACGATCTATCAATGATGTTTTCTTTAAGTATAAAACTCAGTATCTTTCTTTTCTTACATGAATATGAATTTTTTCTTCGAAATATCGGATAACATTTTCAACACACAACAATGAGGAAATAAAAGAAAGTGTGAGTATTATATGGATAACTCAAGTGCATGTTTTGACCAAGAAAAACTCTACCGATAAAACGAGAACAAAAACTGAACAAAGTTAATATAAATACGAGCAAGTTTGATTGATTTCATGACCTAAGAACTAGAAAGTGTTCACGTCGTTTCTATCGTGTTGACAACTGACTTAAAATTCGTACGAAAAAGAAAAAACTCTTGACTAGTGATGGGACTGAGAATGCAATCGATGACAATATCTTGCTAGTATTGATGCATATATGTTATTGAGTCAATTGAAGTTGAATTGAAATATCTGGGCATTAAGTAGAAGCGCGGTAATATTGACAAAACAGTCTTCTCTTCGATTTGTATTTATATTATTAAATAGACTTCTTCTTCACATTAAAATTTTCTGGTTAAAATCCAAGAACAGGTGATCGTAATCCTGATATGACAATTCTCAGGAATATCGATTATCAATAATCTTAGCTTTTTATGACCCCCAACTTTCTTAAACAGGAATAGCAGACCAAATGCATATCATTTCGCAATGTAGACATTCAAGTTAGAGAGAAACCTTACCGATAAGAAGAATAAGAAGGTTCAACAATCATTTGTTTGTTCTTTTTAATATCAAAATCAATTTTCGAAGCACTTTAAAGAAAAGATAACGAAACAAATTCAAAGTAGAAGACACTTGTACATGCTACAATTGTAAGTTCATTTTGAAATTTTTCTCAGCACATTTTCTATTGTTTTTCACTTCATACTTTCTTCTGTCTGTTATCAAGAATATTGACTGTTGATCGTTTCTACTAGCATAGAGCAGATCTCAATATTCTGAACACTAATTCATTGAATTGAGCTTATACCAGAGAACCTAGGCAAAGTATGCATAATTATCACAGATATATCAAATTCAATGGCACCCACCTCATGTAATGATCTGTTTAAAACACGTTTCGTTGTCAAAAGATATACCTATTCACAAAAATTTATCAATCAAAACTTCTAGAGAGTTATTGTAATTCGTTTTTACTTAACTTCTAATATGCAGAGAGAGCCAAATAATAATGATGTACCTCTCTACCATGAAAAATATTTCTAACAAAAAACCATAGGTGTTACAGCTTTCTTCTCGCTCGAATCGAAATTCTTAGAAAATATTTCTTTGTCTGGTAAGAAGCTCAATCGGTGATGTACGTTGATGCGAATGCTTCTATCAGAGTGTGACACTTAAAAGAAATTTCATCGCTTACAAAAGTAAAGAAGCTTTAACAATTACAGTCCTTCAACGTAAAGGATACTTGGTTGAATTCGACGAGAGTTTTGCA